CCGCTGGGGGTCCAGCGGACTCAAATGAAACCTCGCCATCCTTAGGCGCCTGCGATCTGCGAAACTGTCGCCACTTTCGAGGGTTGCTGGGGGGTCCAGCGGACTGGCGTCCGACCCAGACGCACATGAAACCTCGCCTTCCCTGGGGAATGCGGTCTGCGAAACTGTCGCCAGTTTCGAGGGCTGCTAGGGGGTCCACCGGGGCGACGTCCTAACCAGAATCATATGAAACCTCGCCATCCCGGGGGGGGCTGCAATCTGCGAAACTGCCGCCACTTTCGAAGGCAGCCGGAGGGCCCAGCGGAGCGACGTCCTACCCAGCCTCAAATGAGACTTCGCCATCTTTGGGGGGCTGCGATCTTGGAAACCGTCGCCACTTTCGAAAAAGCTGGGAACCCTGGGGGTTGCGATCGCTACTCTCGAAAGTTGCTGGGGGGTCCAGCGGAGTGACGTCCTGCCCAAACTCAAATGACATTTCGCCGTCCCTGTGGGGCTGCGATCCGCTAAACTGTACCCACTTTCGAGAGCTACTGGGGTGTCCAGCGAAGTGGCGTCTTACCCAAACTCAACTATGACCTCGCCATCCCTGGGGGCTGCGATCTGCGAAACTGTCGCCACTTTCGAAGGCCGCTGGGGGCCCAGCGGAGTGACGTCTGTCCCAAATCCACATGAGATCTCGCCATCCATGTTGGAATTCGATATGCGAAACTATCGCCACTTTCGAGGGCCGCTGGGGGGTCCAGCGGGGTGACATCTTACACAGAGTCAAATGAGACCTCGCCATCCCTGCGGGGCTGCGATCTGCTAGCCTGTCGTTATTTTGGAGGTTTGCTAGAGGTCCAGCGGAGTGACGTCCTACCCAGAATCAGAGGCGACCTCGCCATCCCTGTGGAGCTGCAGTATGCGAAGCTGTCACCACTTCCGAGGCCTGCTGGGGGTCCAGCGGAGTCGCGCCCTACCCAGACTCAACTGAAACCTCGCCATCCTTAGGCGCTTGCGATCTGCGAAATTATCATCATTTTCGAGGGCTGCTGTGGGGTCCAGCGGAGTGACGTCTTACGCAGACCACCAGGAGACCTCGCCACCCATTGGGGGGTCTGCGAAGCTGGCGGGCGAGCTAAGCCTCGCTCGATTCTGGCGCTAAATACCAGCAGATGTAATCATCTGTTCGATCGCCGCGGCGACATAGAGAGCAGGCAGCGCTGCATCTTTAGCGCACTGCCGACGAAGGCAACACTCTTCTGCCTACACCCGTCCCTTTCGTCGTCGCCCCCTGCCCCGTGCCATCTTCCCTCTGCTGCTGCCGCGCTGACGGTTCGGCCCCCCACGCGTCCTTCTCTTGCCCTTCGCTCCCGCCACCAAGTCCCCTTCAAGCCTGGGCCCTCGCTTTTCGTCCTTCTGATATCGTCGTGCGAACCGCGCCACGTGGGCGCATCCCATGTAGCTTGCACAACATATAGCGGCGCATGCACTGTCATTGTCCCGACAGGTGCTGGCCGACTCCTCTTGTCACTTGATGCATATGGGTTGGGTACGTCACGGGGCAATCTTCCTTCGGTTGGTTTAAGATGGCTGCGACTGGGCGCTCTGCGAGCAGTGAGAACGCGCTCGGTGGACCTCGACGTTCTCCTGCAGCCGCCCCGTGCCCGTCATCAGCAGCAGGCGGCCCGCGCCGCAGAAGGCGGCCACCATGTCCGCGTGCGCGTTCCCGCCCTCCTCGGGCCGCGTCAGGCCGCGCGGGAGCCAGAGCAACCTCGGGGAAGGGGCAGCACTCCCCCCCCCATGCGGCCAACCCGTGTCACAAGGATGCGCGGTAAGGATGCAGGGGCCTCGGAGGGCCATGTTGATGTTTCTCGAGCCAGGTCGGACAGCGATAGTCGCTAAGGAAGGGCCGAAGGGGCAAGGATGCGAGGGTATACCCTTAGAGAGATTGCCCATCCTCGCTATGCGGGTTGACTGTACCTGTCTAGGGGCTGCTGGCTCGAGCCTCGCGATATAGGGGGGGCGCTAAGAAGTATGGGCGCGAGTTGTCAGGCGCCGAGGGGGGCTGCCAGTCAGGCGGGCCCCCCCTCCGACAACACACACGCCCACAGCCCCCACGGGACTCCACCCCGCAACAAAAAAACCGGGGGGCCACTTGGCTGTGTGGGCGCTGGCTGGTCAGGCCCATGGAGCCGGGTCAGGCCCAGCTCCCGCTGGAGCTCGGCCTCCAGCTGCTGCCTCCCGACGCCGGTGCGCGGCAGGATCTCCTCCACGACGACGCCCGTGCCCTCGCCGTCGCAGACCACGGCGCCGCCCTCGAAGGCCACGCCCTCGGGCTCCCGGAGGGGCTGCGCGCCGGCGACCGCGGCCACGCCTCGTGCCAGCTCCAGGTCCACAGCGGCCCCGCCTCGGGCCCCTCCCTGGGGACGACGAGGGACAAGCAATGGCACAGACACAAACTCTCACAGGTCAGTGCCGAGTTCTCGGATCGGCGCAGGGCCCCCCTCCCTGGCGCGCGGAGCGCGCTGCCAGGGGGCTCCAGCGCCGAACCAAGTGAACCTCCGAAAGTTCCCTTGCATTCCATGCTGTGACCCTCGAGGATAATACCAGCTGTAGAACTCCTTGCGCCCCTCCGACGCCCTCCGCGCCGAGCTGCCCTTCTAAGGAAACCGTGGTGGGCACCGATACCGCCCCCCCCCCCCGACCTCTCACCAGGTGCGTCCGAGAAGGATTTCGGAGCGAATCCAGCGGTGGTGACGAGGGCCTCCCAGTGCCTTTGCTGATAAGCAATAATTCAAAGGACCCCTAACCCTTCAGGAGGGGACCTAAGTTAGGAGCGGCAACACACTAGGGATATAGAGGGGGTCTTATCTGCAGATGTATCAAGCCAAACCGCCCAGACCGATCATCCCTGATGCAAAGACGGGGTCTAATTGACTCCACGTCTTCACTATGTTGTTTGGGTTACCCATCGGTCGGAAGAAGTACATTAGACACATCAAGTAGGAAGGCGGATAAAGTAGATTGGGTTCGGGCCCGCCCAGAGAGTAACAAAACGCAGCGAAAGCGTAGCGATGCTTGAAGTAGGAAGGCGCTTGAAGTAGACTGGGTTCTAGGTCAACGACTGATGGGCAGGGGCTCTCTCATCTTCGAGGATTTCCCCCTCTGACCTTCGGGCTCCCGTACCCGTGGAACTCCCAGCGGACCGCGCCGAGGGCCTCGCCCGCGCCGCCGGGCAGCCCGCGCAGGACGAGCGCGGGGCCCGTGTCTCGCAGCCACCAGTTGACATGCTCGAGCGTGACGTACTCGACCCCGCCGATGTCGGCCAAGTGCCCCTGGCCGGAGGGGCGAACACAGCCAGGCGTGGTGGACTCGGGTTGGCCCCGCAAGGCCGTCGGGAACACGACTTGACTTGGAGGCCTGGAAATGGGCACCAACACCAACACAGGGGGTTGCCTCCACAGGGGAACGATGATCCTCGATTTCGGTGTTGGTGGTAATAGTTCGGTCGCCTTGGAAGCCAGAATATTACCACCATCACCGAGATCGGGAGCTGCTTCCCTCGGTGGAAGCACGCCGCCGATCTTGGTGTTGGTGTTAACCTCTAGGCCTGCGATTGACGCGGTCTCCGAACTCTGGCGCGGCGCCTCGCCGCAAACAACTCACGGAAACGGCACGTCGAACAAATCGCACCCGGGTCCGTCCAGCAGCGGGCAAACCCGAGCTCCGGCCACCTGGAGCCCAACGTTTCCCCGACCTTGCACTGGTCCAGGTCTCGTGACCCCACGACCACGCTGACTGGCTCCCGGGCGGCGACGGATCCCACCAGCGCCGCGAGCTCCCTGTACTGCTCCTCCGTGAAGAAATCGAACCCCTTGTCGCGGACCGCGGGGCCCACCGTGGACTCCGGCGGCCAGCCGACGAGAGTCCGATCGCTAGAAGGCCCAACAGAAGGCACAGGATATGAACTGTTCTCAGAAGCCCGCGCAGTTGGTCGGCGCGGGACCTCCACTCCTCCTTCTCCTCCTCCTCCTCCTCCTCCTCCTCGTCCTTTTCCTCCTCCTCCTCCTTTTCCTCCTCCTCCTCCTCCTGCTCCTCCTCCTCCTCCTGCTCCTCCTCCTCCTCCTCCTCGCCCTCCTCCTCCTCCTCCTCCTCCTCCTGCTCCTCCGCCTCGTCATCCCCTTCCTCCTCCTCGCGAGACGGCGCGCTTGGGGCTGCCCTGGAGGCGCCGCCACTGTGTGTGTGGGGGGTCCCGCAGGAGCCAGCGCCGGCCCGAGAAACTCCGCGCGGACCCCCGAAGACAGTTTATATGATCGTGCCGCAGTGTTGCCCTTCAGGATCGTGGGGCTCCCACTCGGCCGGAGCGCGCACTGGCCCTGCCGGAACGCAGAACGGGAAACATGCCACGACTACCCAGACATGATCGCGTCGCAACAACAATCACGACGGGAGGTTTTTGGCCAATTTCGGCCTCAAAGAGCCCTCGCCGGGCCCGTGACCGTCAAAAACGACTCAGGATGAAAAGCCGGCTCTGAGGAAAGGGTCTGGACTTCCGGAAACGCCGCGCTGAAAAAATCATGAGGTCGTATGTCTGGGGCGACTGCACACGTACACGCCGGCGCCGATCTAAATCAACGCCCATCTTGGCCATCCTCACTGCGTGAACCATCTTCGCGAATCGGCGATGGCCAGCACGAAATTGTTTTTTCATACATTCTGGTTACAGATCGGCGGTTCACAGATGGGGCCCTGAGGGATGGGGGCCTGAGGATAGGAAGGGATCTAAGGGTGGACTAACGTTGTTTGAGGCACCTCGCCCTTGGGTCCGCTTTCCTCGGGGCCCATTCTTTGAGCCACCGGACAGCGGTCGTTACCCCGGGGGGGTCTGCGCATTGGTAACGGCTGGGCACATCGCGGCGGGGATGCGCTGCGATCGCCACAATATGAGCACGTGCGTGGGCGGGGGGGGCCAAGCCCCCCACCCGCGCACGCTCGCCACCATCGCTTTGGGGGGGGGGGGGAATAGCCAAAACGAGAAGAAAGAGGATAATTACCCGAAATGTATTTATGTTGCACCTATGCGTCCAGAGTGTATTCTTTTAGCATGTCCCAATGCACATGCTCTCACATGCAGGTGCACGGTTCCCCAGCACCTATCTGAATTCTTTAATCCCGTTACAATGTATATGCCCTTGTTCAGGTCCAAGCGCTCTAGGCCATGAGTAAAAAACAAAAAACGCGAAATCATCGAGGTCGATGAGCCGTCGTGCAACATTATTCAGCGTCGCGCGCGTTCTGCCCGAATCTGCCACCGCCAAGACTGCGGTGAGCAAGGGGGCGACTCAGTTATTGACCCTTTTCTTCTGGCACAGGTGCTTCACCAACTGTTTCTTTCTGCTCGCGGAAATTCGCGCAGTTGTAAAAGCGCGCTTCTCGGCTGCAGCTGCCTGGCCCTGTCGCTTGGGAGTGCAGGGGTGCGGCTTGGACTTCTCCCCCCCCACCATCGCAACCTTGCGTCTGTTCAAGTGGCCAGCGCCTCCGCAGCCCATGAGAAAGTTGCGCCGCTTGGCGAAATGCAAAATGACAGATCGATGGCGCTCCGCGCGCAGCTCATTAGAGCTGCGCGCGCATCCACGGAAACGACTGAAAATTGACTCCGCGATGGAGCCGTTGACATTGCGGAGACGGCGCGTCAGGCAGTCGACGCAGCGCGGGTTGCACTTTCACGTGCAGACATGGTGCTTCGCGTGGAATGTGTCAACGCTGTAATACCTCAATTGCTTCTACTTTTCTTTCTTTGGCTGGCGGCTCGAAAGAGCACGCGCGGCCCGCGACGAGGCAATTGAATTGACTTTGCCGCGCGCGGGCAAGACCTCGCCCAGTCGCGCGCGGAGGGCGTCGTTGTTATCGGAACGACGTTGCTCTCGTACTGCGACGATCCTCTGCGCGGTCGGGTCAGCGACAATGGGCCGCCCGCAAGTGCGACGGTCGCCGTCGGCCGAATCCAACGCGGGCGGCGCCCCCCTGGAGCGAGAGCAGAGGGCGCGAACCTTGTGATGGCCATCTGCGACCAACTCCTTGACTCTGTCCTAATCGGCGGGAGGAAAGGCGCTGGCGCGAAGATGCCCGTGGTGAGCCGCCTGGCTGTTGGGCGCGAGCTCGCTCTCAATCGCAATGCCCCGATGCCCCCCCCCCCCCTCCGCGGCTTGCAGCTCCATGACCGTCATGGCATACAATATTGAGTCGCTGCGCTGTTTCCGAAAATCGGCAGCAGCGCCGTCGGCGCCGAAAATCTCCTCGCAGGGCCGCCCCGCGCTCCGAGACGACGCGAAGCCGCGGGCGAGAAGCTTCTCGCGGCACTGCAAATACCTCGCCGCCCAAGCTCGGCCCGCGGACGCAAACGACATGCGGTCATTCATCCTTTCAACGGACAGGGCGTTGATGTGCTCGCCGTTGAGAACGCAAGAAGTGCACCCGTGACGCTCTGCAGCGCTCGTTGCAGCACCGCGCGAGGCCGTGCGTCGCGTCGCGCGCGCCCGTCAAGTCCACGCAGACAGCGGTCGTCTCGCCAGCGCTGGCCAATGGGTAGTCGCAACAAGCGCACTTGCCCAGCGGCGTCACTGCATGAGTAGGCGGCCTCGGCGCTGGGACACCAGCAGGCTTCTTGCGCACTCTCGTCATGGCGCAGAGAATGATGTTGGCTGCGGTCGAGCCCGACTGAACTTGCAAATCGAGCCAACTGCTATGGGAACCACTCCGCCCGCCTCTCCAGCCTATTGGCAATGCATCGCGCGGCGCGCGTGCCCCCCTTATCGCGCAGAGCTGCCCTACTGTCCGCGAGTGCATCGCCCCCTCGCGCGCCCACCCAAACAATGTGACGGGCGATCGCCTCGCTTCAGCACGGCGAATTGATCGTCGCGCCGGCCATCTTGAACTTGCCGCGCACTGGCGCCCCGCATCAACAATCCAATCCTGAGACGTTCTCTCACTCGGTTTTCCCTCGTCGCCCTGACAGCCGAACTCGATCACGTCGCAGAACGCATCGTCGTCGCTGCCGAGCTCGGAAAGCACGTCGTGATCGTCAGGGGCAGCAGTGTTTGTGGAATCCGAATCCGAGTCGTGCAATTCCGTTGCGCATCCACGTCGTCGTCGGTCCAGTCGCCCAGGTCATCTCCGTCCTCGTCCTCTTCGACGACTGGCATGGCCTCGTCGAGATCGTCGTCGCACTCTGAATCCCGATCGCTGGACTCCCACTCCAAGGCCTCTGCGTCGGGCATGCCGTTGCTTTCGGCGACAGAGCAATCGCCCATGGCCCCACCCGCATCAGCGGCAGCTGGTTGAGCCCAAGGAACGTGGAGGTCTTCGGCCCGCAATCTCCAACCGCCCACGCGCTCCGGCATTGCCGCGATCACTCCAAACACACGCCGGAGCCAGGCAGCGGGCAACCTGTAGTGTGCACATTTTTTCCGAATTGAATGTTAATGTGCAACTATGTATGCGGTGCTAGCGGCGTTGTCGGGGTTTGCCGCAACGTGAAAACAAACGCGTAGATTTCTACAGGGCCACAGTTTACTAACAGTTATCAATTATACAAATTGCGCAATGGTTGGGTAGTCGAGGTTTTACTTGCCCCTGCGAGCAGAAGCGTCAAGCTCGCGCCCGAGCGTCTCGCAACGGGCCACGCTTGACTTGTGAGCGAGCGGCAGCGCGCGTGGAAAGTGAGCCCTTGAGCCGGACGTCGCCGCTGCGACGCAAATTGCGGCAGCGTCGATCGCAGCGGAACGGGGTAGATAAAGAAACTGTCTCCTGGAAGGTGCTAAATGTTGCTGTCATGGCCCCTGCAACTGTAAGCGATTGCTGCGCTTCCTCTGCGTCTACAGGCTAGGCAACGACAACATGTTTTCGGTTACTTCATTGCCCGAGGCTGGCGAGCGCAGCGAGCGGCGGGCGGGCGACAGAGATAGGATTGATTGGAGATTCAAGAACGACGGCCAGTGGCGCTCGCCCTCCGCCTGAAAGCCTCGCGCGCTCAGGCCTCGTTCGCTTTCTGGGGCTCGAATTTGGGGCGCTTGTTTCCGCGCCCCAAGAGGCCGTGTCTTTCGCGAAGGTCTTCGTGGCCCTGCGCAGGCCGGCCCCTCCCCCGCCGCCGTTCCCCGTTCTCCTTCTGGAGCTGCTCGTTTGTCTCGCGGAGAAGACGGCGCTCCAGGCGAAACTCCTCCGCAAGAAGCACGGCCGTCCTGACCTTCTCTTTGAGGTCATCGCCCTGTTCCTCCTGGCTCGGTTCCTTCTGGTTGCGCTCCTCCTGGCTCTGCTCCTCCTGATCCTCCTCGGCGCTCTCGGAGTAACTGCAGCCCTCGTCGCTGCTCTCGGCGTTGTTGCCCTCGTCCGCTTCCCGGTTCGGTCCGGGCGGCCCTGCAACTTGAGGCGGGGCTGGTTCGTGAAGTCCTGGCTGCTCTGCCTGTGGCTCGGGCGGCGCTGGTGGATGAGGCGCTTGGCAAAGCCAGCAAAAGCGGCGGCGGCAAGTGCAAAGGCGCACCCGTCCACCCCCTCTTTTTCTCCGCGAGCCCCGGCTGCATCTGCGGCCACCCGTTCTCGTTCCACTGGCCGCCCGTGATGGCCTCGCCGCCTTTGACCTTCAGCGTTTTCTGCACACTCCCGCGGCGCACGATGATGTCACGGTCTCTCGAAGTGGTTTTTGACTGGTGGACAAATCGCTGCTATTGGGCAGCATTGGCGCGTATCTCCTGCACCGTGGGCGCAGGCAGGACTAGTTCAACAACCTGATATTGTGCTGCGGGCGGCGCGCCGTCGCCAAGAGCGAACCGGAAGGTACCGCCCTTGTCGTCGAAGGTCAGCTTTCCAATGCATTGGAGGCCGCCTTGCAGATTTGAATGCAAGTTAGCTGCCGTAACGAAAAGATTGGCATGTCTGCGCGTTTGGTCTTGAGCCACCAAAAACACGACGGCATGCGCTACGACAGGACCCCAACATGGCCCAGGACGTTCCCCACGGCGTCCAAGACGGGCCAACGACGGCCAAACATGGCTCCAAGCTGGCCCAATATAGTTCAAAATGGCCTCCAAGAGGGCCCAAGAAGCTTTCAAGTTCGCCCAATATGCTTCAATAGCGGCCCAAGTGGTCCCAAGACGGCCGACGATGCTTCAAGACGGCTCGAAGGAGCCAACAATCTGAACCCAAGGGGCCTCCGGGAGGCCTTCCGGGAAAACCCCGAAAACGCAACCACCCGAGGGGCTCCTCGAAAAATGACAACGAGAGGTGTTACATGTGACTGTTATTAACATTATCTTCGTCATCTTCGTCATCATCCCTCTCCTCCGACTCCTCCTCCTCCTCGTCCTCCTCCTGCTCCTCCTGCTCCTGCTCCTCCTCCTCCTCCTCCTCCTCTTCCTCCTCCTCCTCCTAATGCTCCTCCCCTCTCGAATCATCTGGATCACCGTTTTCGTCCGTCCCAAAACGGACAAGGTGTCACATGTGACGGTTTCCGTGCCTGCCCCACAAAAACCCAAAACAGCCCAAAGACCGTCCGAATGAAGTGCATGAGGAATCCCCGAAAACTGAAAACCAACCGATGAACAATGTTTCGACGGACCTCGTCCTCATTCCTCATCATCATCCTCGTCATAACCATCACCGTAATCAACATCATCAGAATTGCCGTCGTCACCGTCATGATCACCACCATCGGCCAATGGCGCGCTCACCGAATGTGCACACGTACCACATTCCCGAGGCAGCCGAAGATGTCATCACCCTGATAATCAGCACCATCGGCCGTGACGGGCTCAAGGGATTTGCGCACGCACCACAACCCCGAGGCAACCGATGTGTCAGTCGTAACTACGTCAAACACCGTGCCCCCATAATCCACAAAGACGGTCGATGTCACCTGCGATGGCAACGACATTCTTCCGCATCGTCATCCTCCAACATCAAAATGAACAAAACCCAACACCACCATGATCCATATCACCGTGTGTGCCATCATCCTCATCGTCGGCATCGGCATCGACATCCTCCTCAGTTCTCACCATCATCACTAGCATCATTAGCAACATGACGACCACCACCATTATCATCAACATCGTCACCACCATCGACCCTGGAAATACGATTCGTCACAAATTCGGGCACCCGTGTTCCTTCTCGCGAAAACCACCGAGACAACCGGGCACGGTTGCGGGACTTGCCGCACGCGGATGGATGCGAAACGCGCTTGGTAGCGGGAGGAGGAGGAGCAAAAAGGCAGGATGGGATGGAGAAAGTGGCATTGGGGAGGACGAGAGAAGAGGAGGAACATGAGGAGGAGGGGGGGAACGGAGGAGGAAGAGGAGGAAGTGGAGGAAGAGGGTGAGAGTAGCAGGAGTGGGGAAATAATATTCGGCGTTGCGCGAATCACTTCCACGCAGGTCGGTGGAGGAGAGGGGGGGAAGAGGATCGTTGCGAGAGTTTGCAATGTTGCGCAGATGTTTCTGAACAGGCAAAGGGCTGAACATGTGAAAAACGGTCTGCGTTCGCGCGGAGGCGCGCGGCACCCCGGCGAGAAAACAACGGGAAGATAGGGTGGGTGCTGGAATTGATGTAATGTTGCACATGCGTTTCATGTGTTGGTCCACTTATCACGCTGTAAAAGACATGCTCTCGCACGCGGGCAGGCGGCTCTACAGTGCCACCCTGCATTCTTAGATCGGGCGGCGAATTGCATGCCCTCGTCCAAATCAAAGCGCTCTTGGCCGTTGCCCACGAAAGAACGGGCACTCCGTGGGGCGGAGACCTCGGCATCATCGAGATCGGTGGGGCCGTCGTGCGCGATGTTTCGCGACCGTGCGAACTCGCGCGCGGGCGCCTGCGGCGGGGCTGTCTGCGACGGCACGGGGGGGCCACCCGGGTCGGGGCCGCCCCGCCTTGCGCGCTTCGCCCAATCAATCTCCCAAGCGACCGCCTCGGCCCAGCGCGACGGCTCGACGGTCTTGTCGCCCTTCTTGTACTTGCCGTGCATTGGCTTCCACGCGTCGACGATCCAATCCTTCTTCCGCCCTGCCAAGTGCAAGCGCGGCGCGCCCGCGGGAACGCCCCCGCCATTCGGCAGCGCTGGGAATGGTCGGTCGGAACGACGAGGTCGCCCCTTTACAAGTGCGCGAGCTGGTCTGAAAGAGTTGCGTCCTCGTGGGGGGCCGCGATCATCGCGAGCGCGAGCTCATCGTGGGCGATCGCGTCGGGGCACAAAGTCGGCGGCCGATTGTCGCGGGGCCCCGCCTCCATGGCGACCTTGCTGTCGACGGCCTGCGAGAAACAGCCCGCTGCGAACCCGCGCCCGCCCCATCTGGCCCGAGTCGCCCTGTCCTCGGCAGAAGCGCCCAAGAAAACCCCCTTCGCCTCTGCGGGGGCAAACGACGAATCGAAGTCGCCCGGCGTCGCGGGGCATGTCGGCGCCGATGCCAGCTGGCGAGGGAAATCCATTTCAGACGCAGCGATGCAGGACGGCTCTCCTCCCACCTCCCTGCTGCGAGCCATCGCAATGGCGATGGGAATAAGCGTTTTGCCCGCTCCCGGCACGCCGAGCCACGCGGGGGGCCGTCTCATCGACGCTGGGCCGCATCATTTTCAATATCCACAGCAAGTCGGGCTCCAACGCGGCGAGCGTCAGAGGTCAACTGTGGAGA